ACGACCTCTGTTTCTAGTATTTGTACATACCAACCCAACCCACTGCTGTCAGGTTGATTCTACCTTACAGTGACCCTATGGGACAAACTAGAGCTACCTATAAAGTTTCCAGGGCTGTAAATCTCTCCCACAGAGAGACCGGGAGGTGAGAACTGCTGGCCTTTTGGTTAGCAGCCAAGTGCTTTAACTGCTGCTCTACCAGGGCTCCTTATATTTGTACATAGTGGATATACTAGTAGCTGCTTAGCTGGACTTTCGACATCTGTTTATTGAAAAATTATGATAAGAGCTATTATTAGATTTTTCATATACATTTATGTTTCACTCATAGTCCTGGTATGAAGCTGTGGGTTAATGTGCTGGACTGCAGTGTCGGTTTGAACCTCAAGGTTGGGAGTTCAAGCTCACCAGCTGCTCCTTGGAAACCCTATACAAGATCGCTATGGGTTGGAACCGACTCAGTGGCACTTAGCAACAGCAACAATTATTTAACACATTACTTTGTATCAGATATTAATTTGTTGATTGTGTAGGCTCTGCTATTTTGAAGGTCAGTATAATGAGCTCCCTGAGGGCAGAAATTCTAAGATTTTTCTCTTGTTCACTGAGGTTTCCTCAGTACCCAGAATCAGAATAGTGTCATAATTGTTGAATAAATAGGCTAGAAATCTTTACTCAAAAGAAATGGTAAACTAGTGGTTCTTTTTGTCATAGAAGTACCAAAGGGCTTTTAAAAGGAGGTTCACAGCAAGTAAAGTTTTGACCAAGGTACCTAGAATATCTCTTTCTTTTTTTTTTTTTAAACCACTCAGGAATATATAATACTTTAAACCACCAAAGGGCACATTCTATAAATCTGCATCCTGGCCACCAGCTCTCAGTCCCTCTCTTTCCATGTACCTAGAGTCCTCAGCTGCTCCCTCTCTCCATGTCCCCATCTCTGTCTCCATCTCTGGTGTCACTGCTTCTCTAGTTAAGGTCCCACATTCCGCTTGTGCTCTTCTTCCTTAGTGGTCCTAGGGTCCTCTGTTTCTGGACTG